AGTTAGACCATGGCATTTTATTAATTAGACCATGGCATTTTACTGTAGGTAACATGTCAATTTAACTTTTTAGATCATGACATTTTTATTCTATAGACCGTGGGATTTCTCTTTGTCTTGCAACTTCTTTGATTTTTTTTAAATTTAAAACATAGCGGGGCTTTTAACTATAGCATGGCAACTTTTAGAAAGTAGAGCATGGCAAATGTAAATATACATTTCTCTGCCTTTTCTGTATAATTTTTTAATGGTGATTTGTTTTGCAAAAACCAATTAACTAGAACTTTTGTTTGACATAATGATTAAAGCAGGGAGGCCCATCAAGTAGCTTGTCAGGCCATTGGGATCGTGCTGGGTGGTTTGTTCTAGCGAACTAAATCTTTCTTTAGAATGATCCTTCGTATCGAACAAACCGTTCGTCCCAGGCATCCCTAGATCTGACAATACATGGATATCAGCGCCCTAAATTTACAATCTAAAAGCTTGAGGTAGAAGCCATCTTGAAAAGTAGGACATGCGGTCAACTGATATCCACACTAAACATAAGAACTAGTTTCGTGAAATAAACTTAATAAAGTGACAGTCCTTTCAATTGGTTTGCCATTAATCACCAAAACCAAATAGGGATACATGAGAGATGAACTTTCAGCCGGTTACACCTTGCCGCTGCCACACCCCCTATATATTTTCTGTTATACTCTATGTAAGGGACATGGAGTATCTGCTCCTGAGCTCATATGCTCTCGGATGAACAGAAAAATCAAAAAAAATAGTAAATACTTTTTTATAAAATTCTGATTTTTTGGCAAACTTTGACAAATGTTTTATATGGTTGCAAACTTTTATCATGAAATAACATTCGTAGAAGTCTTGGCAAAAAAAACAAAATCGATACTCCTAAAATACTAGTTTTAAAAACATTTGGGACTGGTGACTTTTTTTTATTTGCCACGACTTCCACAAATGTTATTTAAGTATACAAAAAAAATTCAATGTTTACCAAAAAAATCAGAATTCTTTGAATTAGTTTATTATTTTTTTATTTTGCTGTTCATCTGGGTGCATGTGAGCTCCAGATCAGAATAGCACTTTCTAGTAAGCTCCTTTTGCCAATACTATATGTAAGATCCTTTTGCCAATGGAAGGGGAAATTTACCAATTAATACTCTGCGGCATGCACGGTGCTCACTGTTCATTACCATATTGCTCAAGGGAGGACGAATGCATCACCCATTACTCATGGCTGCTTCCGGAGGGCAATGAAAGCCGCCGGCCGGCCTTTTGTAATCTAGGGAACACACACACATCGATCACAGTGTATTCGTGCGTCGATTCTTTTGGGGAGATTCGAAGTTGCGTGTATTAGGCAAGGCACATGGATGCAACACGTAACTATAGCAGCTAGCACACGTACGTAAGCCTTTGCACTGCTGCGCGTTTAGGAAAACTACTGCATGCATGCATGCATGCAATATGCCGGCCGTCGATCGCATGCATGACTCGCAGTGCATTATTACCGGTGGTACGTACTGCTACTAGTTGCCTTCTCTCCAGAGGTGCCCCGGCCAAACCAAACTCGAACCAAATACTACACGCATGGATGGATGCATGCCTCACATATGCAGCCACGCAGGATACAAATGCTCTCCAGTGCAGCCTTTGGTTTTACATGTCTCTCCCCCTCTCTCTCTCTCTCCCTCGACATGATCATAACTTGGCTTTCAGTGTCATATATGCATGCACATGCGGCGCGACGCGATGTGCATTCACTCGATCATGGACACATACATACCTGAAGAAAGAAACACAATGAAGCTAGGAATTGTTCATCAAACAGAGTAGCTTTCAGCAGCTAGCTAGCTAGCTAGTAAGCCGCATTCAAGGCGGGGACTATGCGTGTACATGCGGTGTCCATTTCGGCACAGGAGGAGGCCGGCGTCGATGAGGGTCGGCATGTTCAGATTAAGCAGCGGGGCGACCGAGCTGTTCGCTTGTACAGTAGAGAATGGTGGTCTTGACCAACCGCCCACTGTTCCAATTCATTAGCCAGTCGGGGCGGTGCTACTGTTCCGGTAGTACAAAAACTGGAGTAATAATCAATCGGCATAGATCCTAATACGCCGCCCCAGACTGCATACGTGGTAGTACCACTCAGTCCTTGTAACTTAATTTGTAGTCATCGGCGTCATGCATGCAACTTTTTCTTTCTGAAAAACCCCATATGATATACCACATAGATGAATCTTTTATACCTTTTTATTATTTTTAATATACTTCATTAATAATTATTAGATACCCCAAAATGAGTTTCATGAAAAAATTTATGTGTATATTAAGAATAATAAAGAGGTATAATTAATACGTATATGAGGTATATTGAGGATGGAAGTACATACTTTCAAGAGTACAGAAGAGGAGTCCTATATATTGACCCAATAGTAATAGAGTTGCGAATTGAGCATAACTCAGATGGTTAGATTCCTTCTGGTGGAACCAGCCCATCGGGGTTCAAGTTTTTCGTTCAGTGGGAGGACATGTTCTCCTCGACTAAGAGGAGACGCCTGTGATGAGTTAATCAATCTCAACATATTATGTCGGCTCAGTATCTTGAAGATGCTTATAGGGTAGGATGTGCGTATCTATGTTCATAGGGATGAATGTATGCTTGTGTATGTGAGCATTTGTGATTGTAATGTGTTTACAAAAACTAGATTGTTAATAGTAAGACTTAATAATATTGTATTCGTGAGATCTAGCCACACCCTTACAAATATCCTAGAGTTGCCCCCGTAATTTGCATATTTTGTCTTTCTTCTCCGCAAAGGAAAGATTAACCTGCACATTTTGTAGGACAGATAAATATGGTAATTCCATTCTCATAGTACGTACTCCGAAAACGTTGCAAGCTAAAAGGGATATGCACTGACACTCACTGTTGGTAGAGTGGGCACGGGACATAAGCTGGGCCGTGGTGGCGCGATCAACAGAGGATCCGGCCGGAGGGCAGACAGAGCGGGTTCAAGGTATAATCATAAACTGCGCACAGTGAGCCCATTTAATTGGAATAGTAGCCAGAGAACAAGGGGCTGGTGGCGTGATGCACACATAGTGTTGTGGTTGCACGGAAGGGGCAGACTGGATCGACGGCATTCAAGTCCGGCCACGGCCATCCATCAGAGACGCCGAAAAGTAGTATTAGTAGGGGCACTATACACTATACACTGTAGTACGACCTGCACAAACGATTAAAGCCACGCATCCAAAACATTCCTCTCGTCGAGTCTTTATATCTTTCAAGAACTTCTCAGCCAACACCCCACGCATTGTTGCTCTCCCTCTCGTTGATTACTTCGGAATCGGTTCGTCGATCGTTTAATCAAGCGAGTGATTGCATTTCCATTTGAATTCATGCATGTACGTATGTAACCGTATTTCATTTCTAGATAGACTTGGCAGGGCCGGCATAGTTGACTGTCCCCATCGATCGATCTCACGGTCGGGTGTACCACATAAGCCTGTTGTGATGTGAGCTTTCTGCCGTGTTTCACCCAGTGCGGGAGTTAATGGCCGTCGATCACTTGATGGCCATGTCGTTCGACCCGACGACGATATCGCGCGGCTAGTGGTTATATATGTATGTCTTCGAGGTAGGTAAATATTGTGATGTCCATGATGAGATCGACCACCCGTTCACGCGAGCACATAGGATCGCGTGGGCAAGCAGCAAGCAAACTCGCGTATCTGGACCCGTATGACCAGCCATACACTGTTTGCTCACCACATGCGCTAGTAATCATCGCCGTGCACATGTTCATGCATGTTCCTCAAGAGATAAATATACTGAGAATGATATATTTCAAACAGGTTGCTCGTAGGGATAAGGTGTGCGTGTGTGCGTTCATATGAATGAGTGTATGCGCATGTATATGAGCGCTTGCTTCTGTACTGTGTTCCAAAAAAAAAAAAACAGGGTCACTGATTTTATAGCTGGCCATATAGTTGCACACGGCTTTTTCCTCAAGACGCCGGGTCCAGACGGAAAACAGGAAGAAACCCAATGCGACCCCTCCCAGACCCAAGCCCAATAGACGTGGGAGCAGAGCCATGATTCCGGCCAGGGTTTCGAGCTAATCTCGGCCGGCAACACGGCACGGCATGTGCCCCCTTCTCACTCATACGAGACACATGCCCACGGTGCCCACAGCCCAAACGCACAGCAACGCAGGCCCTTCTTCCAACCTTCCCTCCGGAAAATTCAAGACGCCGCTAGCTCCGCCAGTAGGTGAGGGCGATAAATGCCGGAGCACAGATGCTTCGATTTAACACGTCGAAGCAGCGCCTACGCCGGGCAGGCAGCAATGATACCGTCCAGGAAGACAATGGCTACTAGTATCATCAACAGTGCGGGCTGCAGCAGCAGCAGCAGACAAAAGGAACAAGGTACGCAAGTACACGGGCGAGCGCGTTATGACTGAGCCGGCACCGTCGATCCCACCTTCCAAAATGATACACCGCCGCTGCCAACGCGTCCGTTGGCAGAAATAATGGGCACATCATACACCGTGCACAAGAATAAATGTTCATCAGGAACTGGGCAGCGGGAGGCGGCACTCGACACTCGCATTGCAACACAAAAACTTTCCAAGCCCAAACGATAAAATTACAATTACAGTTCGATCCATCCCCAGGACCGCGGCGAACACGTCGAGAACGGAATGGACAGTGTCAATTGGGTTTCTTCGTGTCATCAGTAGCTTGTCAGCGGAAAATCGGTTTACATCTGGCAGCCGAAAATTCCTCTGCGAAGAACTGGGGCTGTGTGGCTCCTAGACCACGGGCGTGACTGAATGAATGACCAGTAGAGTGCGCTCTCCAACTGTAACTGCAAGCATGGGCGTGGCTAGTGTGACCAGTGTATATGAACTAAACAGAATTATCCACTCAACAATGCTCGTGGCGGTTTTCACGGCGAATACCTCAACGCCAAGAATCACTCTGTTTCAGCATCCGAGACCTTTCAGTATATTCCCCAACTCACTGGTAACATCTGGGATACTTGCATATGATCCAGGGAGATTTATGGCATGATATTCTAACGACTTCCAGCGTGAGATCAAGCCAAAATGTGGGCGTCTATAGAAGCTGCTGATTATCTCAAGAACTTTTGTGTCTGGCGTGGCTGAAACCAGGTGTGTCAGACCAGCCCCATGAGCCCCTATTATGACTGAAGCTTCCAGGATAGCCTGGAGTTGCTCCTTCATGCTCATGTGCGCAAAAAGACCATTCACGACAGTTATTTTGCACTTCTGACCTTTTGCCCACTTCTCAACTGCATCGAATACCTCCTGCTCATTGCTTAGCCTAGATTCAACCTTTCCACTGTGACGTGGGTGGGCCAAGTAGTCTTCTCTCCGAACAAAGAGAATCTTGAGTCCGTTTGATGTTTTTTTAGGCGGCACGATCCCATCCTCCAGAAGATCAAAAGAAGCTATAATCATCTCCCCAAATTCAGACAACCGTGCAGTTTTCTGGTGGTCTGGTTTATTTCTAAGGGACTGAGCAGAGGCTCCTTCACAGCTGAAGCTTTCACTAAGCCCCTTAAATAGAGCAGTCTCATAGCCCAATGGTGAAAGAACTGCATGCCGGAAACAAACAGGGCCAGAGAAGCTCTTGGCATAGGTCACATTCGAAAAAAGTGATTCCCATGTTTGCTCCAGTGGTGCCTGCGGGATATCAGGTCATATCTGTTACAAACAAGAATATACATGGGGAAATCAACTGAATCATTTTGGACAAGAATGATTTCACTCCTTAATTAGCAGATAAATACACTAGAAACTCACAAAGTATGCAAGCAGTTGATATCTCGATATCAATACTGTTGACGTATAAATGCATAGCCCACCTTTCCCCATCAGTTGGAGCTTTTGGGTGAACTGGCTGGTGCGTGCAGTTCTACATGATATCAGAGCCAAGCGGTCTTGAGTTCAAGACCCGGCTGGTGCAATTTAAAAATAAAAAATTGCGGCCCACTTTCGGTCCACGTTTAGGCCTGAGGGGGCCACACGTGAGGGGGAGTGTTCACGTATAAATGCATAGCCCACTGGCTGGTGCGTGCAGTTCTACAAATACAATGGCATAATTGAGCAGATGGCTGCTCATGTTCTTGTGTTGAATGGGAAACATAAGTTAGTTTTGGTAGGAAGGAAATGATACTGTAAATATAATGACAACACTGCTGCACATCTTATAAACAGAACTACCATCATTCTTCACCATCCCACCCTATCTTCAAATGTTCTGATAAGGAGTTACAAACAGCACACACCCACATCGACTATCAAAAGTATGACACTGTTCTAACTATTCCATGAACAGGTGGTGACATGGTGAGATGATTGATGAGACATGCCACACAATGGTTAGCCCTGGTTGACTGATTTTGGTAAGCTTAACTCATTAGAGTCAAAAAACTCAAACTCTGCCAAGTGTTCCATTCTTTCTTCAAATTTTACTGCATGCAGTGCTTAATTTTAGTAGTTACCATAAACCGCACTTTAAGCTGCATATAATAATTCTGAACAAAGAGAATAACATGATAGAGCAATTGAAAATGCAAGCTCAGGCAGACATGGAAGCATAGAGCTGTATGAATGGCATAACTTTGGATCAGGTGTCAGGACAGAGTTCTCAGGAAATTTGTATCTATAGGAGATGTAGAACAGAAATACTAAGAGAAAGGGAAAGGATTTGGAAGAGTTTTAGATTGCAATGATCTCCTAACAGGGGCAGCAGATACGGTCCCAGATACCAAACGAGCAAAGATATCTATGTGAAGAATATGAACACACTAACAAACTACAGATCAGGCACATAACTCTCAAGTTGATATTTTACCACCCAAACTACTGTCCAAACATACTAATTAATCATGACGAATGCAACATATCTCATGTAATGTACCAAGAGTCATAAGCATAGAATGTTTCTAAGTACAGTACATACCTTGCAATGCCCATCCACGAAAACAACATTAGGACGATCAGGTAAATTCGTGACTCTGGAACTAACATATGCACTGTACCAGTCTGTGATTGTGTGGAAAAGGTTTGCATACTCAAATCGTGTGACCAGAAGTGTCGGTTCTTCAATCCACTGCACCAAGTGTTACAACACAGTCACTAAGCAACTAGAGAAATTAGGAAGAATTCAAGAATTTATTCAAAATAATACAATCGAATAAGTACTGCCATATAATAGTCACAATCATGAAATAAGTTAAATATCTGCTTGTCAAGAAGTCCATGTGCTTCTTCATGAAGAGTATAACACAAAGAGAGACACTACATTGGTACAGTTTAATACCATGGAAATTGGCACCACTAGTTTTTTTAACCATTCCTTGATATTAAAGTGCGCCGACATGCATCACTGGTATATTAGCATAACTGAAGCACAAATTGTGCTGCACCCAGTTTTACACCAAGAAAATTGCAATAAACTGAAACTGAACCAAATAGCGAAGAGAATAACCACGATATTTATATATGCTAATAGTAGAACTAGGCTCTTACGAAGTACCCATTCAACCTGAGAATAGAAAGGAAAAGGTAAACTCCACACACTGATTAGAAATACTAACACATGTAACAGTTTGATTGCTCAGTGATAACATCTCGGATTACTCCCTCCAATTTACTTTTTGGCACATAGGCTTACAACTCCATGAAAGATAGGAATTTGAAACTGCTGATTGCAGCTTCCCAGACTATATGTTTGTTATGTTTGTATAACCCCAAGGTTCAACCTCTTACTTACCATGACAAAAATAAATGGCATTTTAAAGACAAAATGCAATAACTGAAAATTTGTTAGCTGCAACTGTAATGTGTCATTATTTGTTTAAATGTGAATGAGTGTAAGTCCATATACAGCCTGCTATGATTCACTACTTTCATATCGTCATTCATTCCTATCTAATATGTGGCATGTACAGAGAGACACAGATGGCAGGCTGGAGCCAGGATGATCCTGCGTGATCATAAAGGTACGGTCATCTTTGCTGCCATACGCATGTTGTTTAACTGTGTTGATGCCCTGGAAGCGGAGGCGGCAGCGATGGATGAAGGGCTCCGGCTTGCTCTCCACTGGACAAACTCACCTCTGGTAGTGGAGATGGACTGCGCTGAGTTGTTGCAAATGATTCAATCAAGAGACGTTGATAGATCACGGTACGTGCACCATATAAGAGAGATCAGAAGGATTCTGACTCAAGAAAGGAACATTAGTCTAGCTAAGATCAGCCGACATGCAAATGAAGCGAGTCACACCCTCGCTTGTATGGGTCGTTCGCAGCAGCGAACTGCATGTTGGCTTCGAAACTTCCCTGATGAGATAGCTAGCATAGTCAATTCTGAATGTAATCATCTTGCTTGATTAATGAAAGTTCCTTTCCCGCAAAAAAATTTGCTTGAGGAAGTAAACTTTGGCATCCATGCACATGTGTAAGCCAAATAATCCAAATTTGCTGAAGACTAGTTTGTATGCAGTTACCAAATAGGGGCACTACACGCATCACGAAATATCGCAATTCAATATGAGTGACCTATTTGAACTACCACACAACATAGTCGCTTTAACCCAATTGGTGGTTTCTTGAATTATCTTTAATTCATGTAAAGTCCTTTTTGAGCTTCCCACAAATTATTCGTTCTATTTCACACACAGTCTGCATCTAGCACAGATAGCAATTTCCTTTATTTGTATGTTTCTTCTTATTACTGGCATGTATGCAGTAATTATGGGATTACCTTTTTTATTTCATATCTAGTACTAATTATTCTTACCATTTAAGGGATCTGATTTACATTTAATGTAAAAATGAGTTCGCATCATACAGGGGAGAGAATACTCACCACTCGTGATATTTGATACTCCTACTGAATTTGCAGCATTTAAGATTTAGGATTCCAAATAAGATTTGTTGTCAGAGGTTGTTTTAGAAAAGTTGCTGGCAGTTACTGTGGAGGGACTATGGCTTAGATCCTTTTCTTTTATGCACAATTTAGCCACCATCCACCACTCACCCCATAAGCACGAGTGGAGTGAAAAGGGGTGGATATTATGTGAGCCAGAGTAAGATTGCAAAGCCTTTTTTGCAGATAGGAATATCCAGCTATCCTCTAATTCCTCACAATTTACCCTTTGTTTAGGAAACTGATAAATAAAGGAAATTAATACTAGTAGCAAAGAGAGCTAATCCAGCAGATTCAATTAATGACGTACTCTTCAATTTTGTGAGATTACTTTCTATATAGGAAGATAGATTGTGCAATAATTCACTTCCAATCAATCACCAAACACACCTTATATCAGTTATAGGTTGCTGAAACAAAGTCAGTTATCACGGCAAGGAATACCTGGGAGCAGTGGAGCTCACCGGGCGGCACGACACGCGCGGAGTCGAGCAGCGCTCTCATGGTGTGCGTCCCGATCCCGTTGGTGGGCACGTGGGCGTCGAGGAACCCCGGCTCGACCAAGGGCCCCCTCCTCCCCGCCGCCGCCCCCTCCACCACCAGCGCGCCGGATTCGTACCTGGGCAGCTCCTCCTCCTCCTTGCGGCCCATCACCTGGTCGATCGGCTCGCCGCCGCGCGACATCGCGATGAGCGCCGGGTCGAGCCGCACCCGCGCGCCCTCGCAGATCGAGCTGCCCAGCGTCTCGCTGTGGTGGCACCGGAACCACCCGCCGCCCCCACGCCCCTCCGGGAGGACTTCCACGAGATGGGAGAAGCCGTTCCCGAAGTAGGCCTCGCAGGAGCGCGGCGGCAGCGATGGGTCGGCGGTCCAGGGGAGGAAGGACGGGAGGCGCGGCCACGGCTTCTGGTAAGACGGCTCTCGGACTCTCTCATGGGTCTGAGCTTCGGGCTTGGCGGGGTTCGGGGGAGGATGGTTGGACTGGAGGAGGAGGTAGAGCGCGAAGGAGACGGCGTGGACGGCGAACACGACGACGAGGATGCACGGGACGAGGCGGCGGAGCCTCTGGCCGTGGCTTTGGTGGTGATTGCGCCCGGCCATCATCGCCGGCCGCCGGAGTGTCCTCCGCGCCGTCGGGGTTCCGTAGATCCGGGGCCTGTGTGTACTCGGAGACGATGGGGGGGAAGAGGAAGCCGTTACGCGTGGTGGGTAGCATCAGACGGTTGCTCGCGTGGTTGGTCATTCTCTGGACGGCCTCGATCCGCTGACACATTCTGCTTTTGCCTTTTGGGTCTATGCCTTTACCAGTCGCAGGTGAGCTGTCGCCGGAGACATCGCATCGCCATAGCGGTGGGCTGACCGGCGACGGCGTGCCTTCTTGCCAATCGAGGCTGCGCGACCAGCCGGTCTTGGATACTGCGGAGTGCCGTCGGTGCACGGCGTACCTGGCCAGTGTGCGAGTTGGGTCGCCTGCTGTGGATGCCGCCTAGCCGTCGCCATGTGATCAATCAAGCCCAGCGTCGCTGGACAAGTATGCAAGTGTCAATTCCACTGCTCCGGTACGTTCCTCCAAGAATTTTCATTGGGAAAATAATTTTCATTTGAAGTTCAGTTGTGCAAGAATATAGAGATGAGATCTCAGATTAGTACAGTTAGAATTACGACTTAAATGGAAGAGCTAACTTAAATCTTTGCATGTGTCAGCCAAATACCAGTAATTTTAAGCCACTATTCTTAAAGAGTTTGCATTATTTACGATAATTTATAACTAGGCTAATGATTCCAGCAGGGCGACAAGCCATAGCATATGTCGGTCTGGCGTGTATCATCGGATTCGTGTTGATCCGTCGCTTCGCACTGCGCCATGTCGCTCCCGTCGTCGGGGCCCACCACACCGCCCGCTCTCCTCAGTCTACCTTATCCCTCAATGTGTTTCCATGGCTCCTCTGCCTCGCTCTGCGCCACACACCACAACCCTCCAACCCCTCCCCCCAACGTCTCATCGGAGTTGGCCTCCGACAACCCGGAGTCAATCTCCCCTGCGCGTGCTGTTGTGGTTCTAAGTCTGACAGTAGTGTAGGGGGGTAAGTATGAAGAGGCAAGATCTTAGCTATGGAGAAGTTGTAAGCACGCAAGGTTTACGAGTTCAGGCCCTTCTCGGAGGAAGTAATAGCCCTACGTCTCGGAGCCCGGAGGCGGTCGACTGGATTATGCGTGTATGAATTACAAGGGTGTGAACCCTTGTCTCGGAGGAGGGGGGTGGCTTATATAGAGTGCGCCAGGACCCCAGCCATCCCACGTTACAAAGGGTTCAACGTACATTAAGGCAGGGCGTTACTAGTAACGCTAGTAAGAAAGTGCTATGATGACCATAAAAGCTACTTAATAACCGACCGTTAGCATGCGGAGTGCCTTTAGGTCTCCTGACTGTCGAGTGGCTTGGTCTTGGTCGAGTGGTTGCTTCTTGGTCGAGTATCTTCGAGTCTGTCGAGTGGAACACCTCCAAGTCGATTGAAAGATGATTTCTTCTGGAGATGTCCTTGGGTAGGTCAGTTTGGACAGGTCCATGCCCCTACCCTAGGTACATAGCTTCATCATTAGCCCCCGAATGGATCGTGGTTTGAGTGGGAAAGGGATTGAGCACTTCTCCGACTCATTTTTCATGCCGTGAGCATTTCTTGTTTCGGATCAATGAACCTGAGCGATGGCAGCGACTTCCTTTCCATTTGCCTCGATTCATTCTTAGGTTTTTGTCGAGTGAGTTTCTTTATTTGAAAGGCTCCGAGTGACGGTGCGGAGGAGATCTTTGGTCTGACAAGTTGTTCCGCTGCCCGCAGATTTCGTGGGATCTGAATTTTGGGAAGCGCGCGGGACGGGGGAGGCCGCAGTAATCGGATGGGATAGAGCGGAGCCGCCTCGATCCCCGCACCACCTTTTTCGCCATGTATCGCGCACGCGATTGTTACGGGATTTGACAGAACCGCCCGGGCCTACCAGTCAGCCACTCGGAAGCGGCCTCATATAAGGCGTTGGACCGGGGTCTCCCGAACAGTGCGTCCCCATTATCTCTTCTCCTCTTCACGCTTCTCTGCTGCGCTCGCTCTCGCCCTCGCGCCACCGTTCCGTACGCGTCTCGCCGGCAACGATGGGGAAGGAGAAGATGACGGCTCTGGAGCGGGCAAAGAAGGCGACGGCGAGGTCGGAGGGGAAGGCGACCAGTCGGGGCGGATCCTCCTCGCGAACCGGCCTGCCAAAGGGCTGGATCCAGGGTGACTGGATCCACTCGAAGCTCACCCAAGAAGACCTCGACGACCTGGCCGAAGGAGGGCTGATCCCCTATGACTCGACGCAGCTTCCGGGGAAGGAATCCGAGCCGCAACCCCGGGAGGGTGAGCGCGTTCTTCTTGCCACCCACGTCGACCGTGGATTTTCCTTGCCTCCTCACCCTTTCTTTCGAGGATTTCTGAACTTCTTTGGGGCACAACTCCACCATTTTACTCCCAACACAATCGTTTATCTCGCCGCTTTCATTTCTTTGTGTGAGAATTTCCTGGGTTGCCGGCCTCACTGGGGTCTTTTCAAGCATATTTTCACTTGTCGCTCCCAGACAGTGAAAAAGGCTAATCCGAGTGACGAGAGGACTCAAGTGATCCAGATGTGTGGGGGTCTTGGTATCCAGATGAGAGGGAAAAGCTCCTTTCCGGCCATGATTCTTCCCGACTCAGTTCGCGGATGGCAGTCGACCTGGTTTTACTGTAAAGACCAGTCGATGCCAGGGCAGTCGACTGGCCTCCCTCCCTTTACCATGGACCAAGTGAGGAAACCATCCCCTTTGAAGGTGCTCCCGGAGGAGAAAGCGCAGGTGAGGATGCTGGTTGAGCGAGTGGTCCAGCTTATCCGTGACGGGGTCACTGGCATGGATCTCCTGGAGGTCTTCCTTCAGCGGCGCATCCAGCCTCTTCAAGCTCGAGACCATCCGATGTGGATGTATTCGGGTCTTGAAGACTCCACTCGGATTCACCCGGAGGAGGTCGATGATGACACACTGGAGAAGTGGCTGTCGGGCATGACCAGAAACAAGGACAACCCCAGGGGAGCCAGGAGAGTTCCTCCATTTGACCAGTCTCATGTACCAGAGAAGGTCCGATTCTGAGTTTTTGTTTGTAATCTGAATCCACTCGCGCGGCTACCTATGCTGAGTCGACTCACTTTGTTCTCCCTGCTTTCTTTTAGGCCATTATTGAAATGTATTCAATGCCCAACGGAGAACAGGAGCAGGACCCGGAAGGAGAGGCGAGCGGCGGCGACAGTGGCGAGTGGGAGTCTGACGGTGGAGGGGACGAAGAAAGCGATGACCCGAGTGATGAAGAAGAAGTCGAGTCGCCTCCTCGCAGGGAGAGGCGGTCCAAACTTGACCAAGAACGGCTGAGCGCTCGTGAAAAGGCGATTGCTCAAGCTGGTCAGTCTTCAAAGCGTCCTCGGACCTCTTCGCCAACTCCGACTGAGAAAGCGCCAAAGAATCCCAAAGTCACAGAGCCGAAGCTTCGGAAGGCGTTGCCGAAGATTAAGATTGACATCCCCGTCGCTTCTGCGTGAGTTCTCTTTTTATCTTCACTGGACGCCCTATGCTGCTTGTTTTTCTCGTTTTAACCGGATGGACTTGGGAACTGGCAGCGCTGCTACTTCCGGGACCTCAGCTTACAGGGACGATGATGAGGTGATGGAGGATGCGGTCACTTCTAATCTGGGTATGATTTCTGCCATTCTATCTTTATTTTGGTCGATTCAACTGCAATGTGTACCATTGGGTGATGTGATTTTGTCGATTGAACTTTGAACAGCCCCTAACGTTATTGACCTCCCTGATGATGATGAAGAGCCCGAGAGGCCTTTAACGAGGAGAAATAGGCAAGTTCCTGCAAGCGAGGTGCCACAATCGACGCTGAGGACGGAGCCAGTCGTTCAGGACGCTGGTGATGCCAATCGGGGTTCTGTTACCTTCGTCGTGCCCTTGTCGAGTGCCTTGCCTTCTTCATCGACTGATCAGGTCCCTGTCGACCCGCCTTCGGTTTTTGCGACCCATCATGTCCCAGAGGACGAAGTGAATGCTGCCAAGGAAGCCATACGCCAGGCGGGCATTATGATGGAGCAGATGAAGACGGTGCGGGACGCCAGCCAGGCCGCCTACGATGCCAGCTCGGCTCTCTAGAGCAACGTTCAGGTTAGTTGGCCGCTGCTTGTTCTGTTAGGACATGCTACCTGAAGACTCTTTCTGAAAATCTTTGCATCTGTACACCCACTGGGTGTGTCGATTGAATTTTTGAACTAGTAGGGGCACGCTGAGTGCACCCACTGGGTGTAGTCCCCGAGACTACGGTGGACTGCCGGCAGTCGACTGTAGTCTTTGTAGTTTGTCTCTTCCACTCGGTCTGGTCGAGTGGGATCAGAACCAGTGGGGGCATGTCAAGTGCACCCACTGGGTGTAGTCCCCGAGACCACGGTCGACTGCTGGCAGTCGACTGTGGTCTGAGTTCTATTTTCTCCCCCCTTTTTTTACTCCTTGCACTCGACTCTGACGGGCCGGTCGAGTGGGATCAGAACCAGTGGGGGCACGCAAAGTGCACCCACTGGGTGTAGTCCTCGAGACTATGGTGGACTGCGGGCAGTCGACCGTAGTCTTAGTACTTATTGTCCTTGTCGTTTTTTACTGTAAAATAAGTTCTCCTCTTTGATTTCAGAAATCTTGTGATCTTGGAGCTCGCTTTGCTGACTTGGAGAGACAGCAGATCCAACTGAACCTTGACTTGGAGCTGGCCAAGACAAAACTGCAAAAAGTCAAGGACGGCGCCACTGGTAAGACGAGTTTGTCGACTGGTCTGTCTTAGGCTTGAGTACCCTTCCACTCTTTCTGAACCAAGCATTGTTTCTTCGCAGAAAAACTGAGAGAAGCTCTGACGAAGAAGGATCAGGATTTGGCTGCTGCTCACAAGGAAGCTGACGACATAACCGCTCTGGCTGAACAGAAGCTAGCTTCGGTCGGCCAGTTGGAAGAAGAGAATACCAGGCTGAAATCTGCTCTGAACGAAGCCAACAAGGAGTGCTCG